GGTCAGCGTTTCTTTTCTTCCTGTATTATTTCTTTGTTGAAGTAATACAGTTGTTTCACAGCCCGTCTAAAAATGCATAATTATGCACCTCCTTAAACACGATAGAGGTACGAAATATCAGAGCAGGCTGAGTCAATATCAGAATATGCACGAATGTTTGTCCGGATTACATAGCCTTTTCCATTGTTTATTAAATTCAAAAAATACTGTCTCATTATATTTTTAGGGACACATTCTAAACATGTAATATAGTTTTCAAATAACATTTACTCAATTATAATTTTTATAGGCCATATCATCAAGGTAAAATGCACATTTGGGCCTGTCCAAGGTTGACCCCTTTGCTTATAATCATTGCCCCAAATCAACATATTGCATAAAAAAAATTCATTAAATTTGTGCAATTGCCCTATAAATTCCTAAACTTTGTTTTGAAATATTAAACTTGTTCAAAAGTATTTGATACATCATGAAAATAATATTTGTTCATGGCCTTAAGAAACATGTCCTTCGCATAACAAATTAGTAAATTTCAAAATAACAGCTGGTCCCTCACAGGCTTCTTCACAACTTCCTGTCCTGCTTATGGAACACTTCCTGTTTATTCAAGTGTCATGTGGTGAATGTAGTTGAACTTGAACAGTTTGCCAGAAAATACCCATTTATGGTAGGAATTTCTGGAGTAGATTTTTGTAACGTCCTTCCAGTAACGGCCATCAACCACCTGCATTTATGTTTTTGTGAAGCTGGAATCATTTACCAGGTAGCATCAGTGATACAGATCACCTACATTTCCCCTCTAAAGATAAGGAGGCCATTAATTGTCAAATATTTTTGTTTTACCATGAATAGAGTCATTCCCGTAACAGTCATTCCTGTAACAGGATGATTTGTTACTGGAAGGACAGTGTTTGTTACAGGAGTGACACTTTTAATTTTATTTTGGTTCAGTTTTTGTATATTAATGAATAGGGTACTGATAATGATTAGATATTCTAATTATGATGTCAAAGTAATCAATTAAAAGGTCGTGAAGTTGATGGATTATTATTCTTTCTATTTCTCAAGGGGTAATCCTTACCGTTACAGGAATGACCATATCTGTTACTGGAAGGACTAAGACTACAATTGTATTCTATTAAAGGTCCAAAATCTGCATTGCATTGAAAACATGACATAATTTTTCACACAAATATCATGAAATTCTACAATGGCCACACAAAATTGATAGTAGGTAAATGGCTTGGACAGTATGAAACAGGTGGGCAAGACAGAAATGGACAGCATGAAACAGTTGGGCAAGACAGAAATGGACATCATGAAACAGGTGGGCAAGACAGAATGGATACCATGAAATAAAACAAAAATAATGCTTTCTTGCATTCAAAGAGTTTTACATATGGAATGTGCACACTATGCCTGGAAGTCCTTCCCGTAACATCCACATTAAAAATTGCCAAGAAAACCTCTGCGTAATTGCATATCTTTACCAGACCAGGCTGTGTAAATATCTTTTCTCTTACATTCCAAAGTCATTATGTGCCAACGTTTGTTCATGTTTGCATTTTGAAATAATCAGCCTTTTGGCGTTTAAATTGTCCTCCCCGTAACGCCTGGAGGTCCTTCCCGTAACATCCACATTAAAAATTGCCAAGAATACCTCTGTGTAATTGCATATCTTTACCAGACCAGGCTGTGTAAATATGATTTCTCTTACATTCCAAAGTAATTATGTGCCAACGTTTGTCCATGTTTGCATTTTGAAATAATCAGCCTTTTGGCGTTTAAATTGTCCTCCCCGTAACGCCTGGAGGTCCTTCCCGTAACATCCACATTAAAAATTGCCAAGAATACCTCTGTGTAATTGCATATCTTTACCAGACCAGGCTGTGTAAATATCTTTTCTCTTACATTCCAAAGTAATTATGTGCCAAAGTTTGTTCATGTTTGCATTTTGAAATAATCAGCCTTTTGGCGTTTAAATTGTCCTCCCGTAACGCCTGGAGGTCCTTCCCGTAACATCCACATTAAAAATTGCCAAGAATACCTCTGTGTAATTGCATATCTTTACCAGACCAGGCTGTGTAAATATCTTTTCTCTTACATTCCAAAGTCATTATGTGCCAAAGTTTGTTCATGTTTGCATTTTGAAATAATCAGCCTTTTGGCGTTTAAATTGTACTCCCCGTAACGCCTGGAGGTCCTTCCCGTAACATCCACATTAAAAATTGCCAAGAATACCTCTGTGTAATTGCATATCTTTACCAGGACCAGGCTGTGTAAATATGATTTCTCTTACATTCCAAAGTCATTATGTGCCAAAGATTGTTCATGTTTGCATTTATATGTATTCTGTGTTTTGGGGTTAAAATGTCATTTCTGTAACATTTCTTGTCCCTCCTGTAACAGTCGTTATATTTGGTAGAAAATCAAGTAAAAGTACATGTATAAACTACTAACTTCTTTACTAACTAGCTTTAGTACCCATCTGATAGTACGTAGTGTGTGTATATTGTTGCAGTATGTTAGCAAAAATCAATCACTGACTTTGTCGCAATTCCAAGGACGAAATATTATGATGTAGAAATTAATGTGGGCCTTTATATGTATTTTCCACCTCACTTATGTGTGTAGTTTATTGATCTGCAGGAGGCCAATGTAAATAACCCCCTGAGCTAGACAAGTAAGTGAAATTTGATATAAGTAATATTTCTATGAAGAATAATTGACCGTTACAGGAAGGACATGTGTCACTACTGGTGATACATTTATTCGATTTTGTTGTAAAATCCTGATATGTTTAAGATTGCATTTATATGTTTTCTAGCATTACAGTTATTGTAGTTCCAATAAATAAAAGTCAAATTCTTCCTCACAACATGTGACTTTGGTGAATTTGGCAACATCCAATTCCTGCATATTCTGATGTTGACTCAGCTATGAAATATACGAAGATCAAGACTTTCTGACTCCTCAACTGTTGGATAGCGAGAAAGAGCTAGCATATATTGTCAGACGGTGGTCAATGAACGGGCGACGAGGAGGGGTTTGTTTCATGGCGAGATATTGTTCTATCCTGACGTATTTTCGTCCGAGGCTTCATAGTGATTGAAAACATATCCTCTAAAGAAAAGCCTGACCCCATTTACATTGTCCTACTACTGTCGTACCTCAGATCAAACCAGTAGTGTAGGATATGATGGGTGTTGGCAATTCATCCAGGTTACCCAGGCTGAGTTTGTAAATCGACAACTGTCGTTCCTTAATTCCAACCAGTAGGATACGATGGGTGCTGACAATGCATCCAGATTACTCAGGTTGAGTTATAATTCTACAACTGTCGTCAATTCTTCCAACCAGTAGGATATGATGGGTGTTGACAATGCATCCTGATTACTCAGGTTGAGTTTATAAGTCTACGACTGTCATAACACGTGTGTTGACAATGCATCCAGATTACTCAGGTTGAGTTATAATTCTACAACTGTCGTCAATTCTTCCAACCAGTAGGATATGATGGGTGTTGACAATGCATCCTGATTACTCAGGTTGAGTTTATAAGTCTACAACTGTCATAACACGTGTGTTGACAATGCATCCAGATTACTCAGGTTGAGTTATAATTCTACAACTGTCGTCAATTCTTCCAACCAGTAGGATATGATGGGTGTTGACAATGCATCCTGATTACTCTGGTTGAGTTTATAAGTCTACAACTGTCATAACACGTGTGTTGACAATGCATCCAGATTACTCAGGTTGAGTTATAATTCTACAACTGTCGTCAATTCTTCCAACCAGTAGGATATGATGGGTGTTGGCAATGCATCCAGATTACTCAGGTTGAGTTATAATTCTACAACTGTCATAACACGTGTGTTGACAATGCATCCAGATTACTCAGGTTGAGTTTATAATGCATCCACGTGTCTACAACTGTCATAACACGTGTGTTGACAATGCATCCTGATTACTCAGGAGTTTATAATTCTACAGTTGTCATACCTCAGTTCCAACCAGTAGGATATGATATAATTTGTGTCGATAATGCATCCAGATGACGCAAGTTGAGTTTAGATTCTATGCCGGTTCTCCCTCAGTTAAAACCAGTAGGGATTGATGTGTGCTGACAATGCATTTCGATTCATCCCCGCAATATATCCATAAACAATTATTGTTTGGTTCGTCCTTGTTTTATTTGTTCCTTAACACAAGTACAGCACTCGGCAACCGGCCAGATGCATGGCGGTAGTCTGTAAATAAACAAGTCTTGAGCACACACTCACACGTGACATCAATCGTGATACATGTCTTCACATGTAGCAGTGCAATAAGAAACTATAACCTTCAACACTGCCCTTGTGTGACCTCATTTTGCAGACTCCCCAATATGTGCATACCTTTAACAAACAAAAGACATGGTTGAATGCACAGCAATTTTGTATCTGTTTTCACTTTACGTTTATGTTTATCCAAACGTTTTAAAACTTGATGCGCTGATTAAAAGTAAGTACACATCTATCCTAACAAAATTAAGTAATCTTTGCTCTCTCGTTACGCTATGTTACAAGTCCTATAGTTATACAAATAATTTCCTCCACCGTTACACAACATTTCTGAGTTAGTGTGTACGTAAATATACCTCTCCTAACGTCACAAATGTATTTCGTATAATATATAAATGTACATTGAGCTTATGTCACGGATAGTGGCCTGGGAGTAATACATGTTCTGTTTTGACACATCCGTACAGCCAGCCAGCCATCCGTCCATTCATCAACTCACCCCCCACCGCCCAAACTACCCACCCACCCCCCCCCTCACACAGAGAGAGGTACATACTCACTCACCTACACAAAGCCATCTCACCACCTACCTCACATCACTCAGCCATCCACTAGCCTGTCCCATCCCATCAACCCCACACACACCCAACTCCCCCACCCCGCCTCTTTCACCACACACAGGCATCTTATCACATATACATCATATACTGATATACCGACGATTCCATTTCATCAACAGGCAAACCAGCATGATTTGTTTAATCCCTTAGCTGTCTGCAAACCGATGTGTCAGTACAATGGAGCTGAACCGGTCACACCTGCCTAAAAATACCACGCCGTATGGCCCTTATCCCCCTCGATCACCGCTCACCTGAGACTAGTCTCACAAACGTCAACACACACTAAACGCCAGGCCACAGGCGGATACAGTGAATTGAACACATACTCTCGGAAACGGGTAAGTCGTTCTCTTTGTAACGCCTACAAATAAGCAACCGATCTATATATTTCTTACTTAATAAGTTATTTCCCAGTTAAACACGTGAATATATACGATGTTTCACACTGAATACAAGGCATAAGCGTGGGTTATTATTGTATGTAGCGGAATATCAGCGACTTACGGGACATGTATGTCAACCAGACCACATAATGGGACCTGAGTAAATACGTGTCTGATTCACTTTCGTGTCACTGTGTGTTATTGTCGTTGTGTATGGATGTCAACTGGATTGCCAGATACCAGAAAAAGCAGTTATAAGATATATAGATTTTAACATTTAATACTACTTATGGATGCACAACATTTCGAAAACGCTTCGTGTCTATATACACTTAAACGATACAAATCTAATGACATACATATATACAGATATGTAAATACAAGAAGAGTGAGTCAGATACGGTGTCCTAGTGTGGACGAATGATGACAATTACTAACGTTGTCATGGTTGTGGACCATCAGTATCCAGCTGATGAATTGCAGCGAGTGATGACAATTAAAACATGGTGAGGTTAGGTAAATTATTGCACTTACCAGTACGTATTTCAAGAGTTTTGCACTTACTATTGTCCGTCAAACTGGCTCTCAGTTCACAGCGATTTACTTGGTATGTTTGTATATGATGAAAATTAAATATATATGTTAATTGTATCCTTTAGCCCATTACCAGAAAAAAACAGTTTTAGCGTTTGTCATCCCAAATTAAAGATATTTCCTTCATTGTTGTCATGTAAGTCCATGACAGGGATCGAACACCTAGGGCGGCAATCAGTACCTGTACAGAATCGATCACGGCATCTTTATATTCGCCACCACAACACCACTGACTTCTATGCAGCCGATGTTATAGACCAGGACGGGACCCCGCCTGCCATTCGTAACTACTCGCCTCTTTCCATGACCATCCGGCTTGCCGGAATGACATAAATAGTTACGAATGCCTGCCTGCTTGAGCAGGTACACCACCTTTAAGCCGAGTTCGAATATAACTTGAGAAGTTGTTATCCCCGTTGTAGTTTCCAGGCACATGGAAAGCCACGAGCATTTGAATTGAACTGTGTCCTAGCCCTTCACCCCAACCAAAATTGTGACTAATGTTTCAAAAAGACGGCCAGTTCTCCCTTTAGTATGGTGGCTGATTTGTATGGTGGCTGATTAGGGCCATCGCTTTCTCGTCTTAAAATTCGGATGCGAGAAAGCGATATCACGAGACGAGAAAGCGATAACACGAGACGAGAAAGCGATAGCCCGATACGAGAAAGCGATAGCACGAGACGAGAAAGCAATATCATTGCGCGAGAAAGCGATAGAGCGAGAAAGCGATGGCCCTAATCAGCCACCATACTTCAGACAGTTCTCTAGCTCAGTGACGTGCTGTATGTTTATCACCTATACTTAGGCTGTACATGGTCATACATACATGATCTTGTCACACGCTTGACTGCACACTTGTTCACGGTCACAGTCGGTTGCACACGTTCTCGGCAGGGCCATTCCTTTCTCCTGTCATTTTAACACTAGCTATCTCTTATCCACCATTATAGAATTACATTCACAAACTGTGATTTTCTCCACAGGGTTAAAGGGTTGAAGCTCTTTCTTCTTTCTTTGGAAACGAAATGCGCCAAAGGCCATATATATCACAGCGTATATATATATATCAGTGAGACAGTTTAAAAATTGTAATCTACGTAGACATACTTGTAAGTAAGATGCTTTCATGACGTAGGCGAGCCTCTACATCTACGTAGATGGTGTATATTTCGAGTCCGTCTGACGTAATTCCAAATCAACTTGAAGCCACACCTCCTCGTTGGCGCCTGTATATTCATCATTTGTATTTTTCAGATTTTTCATAAACCTGCGCTAGCTTTGCATTTCACTCTCTTTCGTTTTTTTCTCAACCATCGTATTGTACGTTGTGCGTGCCACGTATTGGCGTTACTAATCAGTCACTAATGGTCATGCTGTGGGATAGCCGAGTACGTTCGCCCGGGTGACCATGTTCGATTCCTCACATGGGTACACTATGTGAAGTCTATTTCTGGTGCCCACGACCGTGACATTGCTGGAATATTGCTAAAGGTGGCGTAAAGCTAAACTTACTCACTCACTGGTTGTAAAGATGCTGTGGGTATGTAAGTCAGAGCTAAAACATGTTTAAATACCACCTGCAGCATTGTGTTACATTTAGGACTCTAACATACGAGCTACCCATGTTTAACGCTTTCCTAATACACATTTTACAGCATATGTCTGCGGGAAGTAAAAAGCAACATATCATCCTACATATATATGTGTCTATATTGTGTATCTTCCCCTCCGTGGTTAGGTGATCCAGTGGTTAACATGTTCGCTCATCACACCGAAGATCCGGGTTCGATACCCCACATGGGTGCTCCCCGCTTTGAAATTGCTTGAATATTGCTAAAAGCTGCCATAAACACACTTTGTCACTATTCAGAAAAACGAGAAAACGAGAAACGTTCCGCTGAGTCAGTTCCAAAATAGAGGACAAGGTCAGTCTGTTATAAATGTTTGCGTCCAATTTACATACATATCCAGTTTCTATACACTAAGGGCCTACTGCATAACGTTGTCCGATCTGGCGACGTGTAGTGAATAATAATGCAAGCTGCCCTACTCTTGTTAGTTCCTTTGAAAACCGTTTAGATGCTTTGAACAAAGTTTATGCTTTGAACAACACGTTTATGCTTTCTGTTACGTTTATGCTTTGAACAACACATGCTTTGAACAACACGTTTATGTCACATTTATTTGAACAACACATATGAACAACCAGCTTTCTATACACTTTGAACAAGGGCACATTAATGCTGAACATAACGTTGTCATGCTTTGATCTGGCGACGTGTTTGAGTGAATAAGACGTACAAATGCATCGCGTTTTTATGGTTAACAGCTTCTTTATTTCGTGAGTGCGACGTTTCGATACAGATTCTTGTACCGTTGTGAAGCAAGAGTGATACATGAAGTGGAGGAGCTGCATATTTATACTGTATATAAGAATAAGAGTCAGATAGGCTATCCTTGGTCACGGTTGATGGTGGGCTTATGGCGTTTGATGTGAATGGTTTCGGTGAGCTTGCGTTTAGTGAAGTCCGTTTGGTTGTTGGCGAGAATGGTGAAGTCGGACCACTCTATTTGATAATTGGGGTTTGCTTTGATGTGGTCAGAGATAGCTGATTTGGTGTCGGAGTTAGCAACAGAGGTGCGATGTTCTTTGACTCGGGTGTTGATGGGTCGGGATGTTTCACCTATGTAGCTTTGTCCACAATCACAGTTTATTTTATAAATAACACATTTCGGGTTGTTTTCTTCCGTTGGCATGGAGGAGGTTGTTGAGGCTGGAGGACGCTGAGAAGGTTGTGTCTATGCCTGCCTATTGTTTCAGGAGTCGGCTGATTTGATGTGATGGTTTACCTATGTAGGGAATGGATATCTTGATGGGGGCTGATTCTGGTTGCTTCGATGGTTCTGTTGACTATTTCAGGTGGGTAGTGGTTGCGTTCTACAAAGACTTTCCTTAGGTGTTCAATTTCTTCTTGTAGGTTTGTTGAGCAGATGGTTTTGGCTCTTCTGGTCAAATCTGGAAACATCCGTCTATAGCATGTATTTCCTACAGTGCTTGCGTTTATTTCAATGGTGTACAATACGGCTTTTGGTGATGTGAATGCAACTTCAGTTTAGTAATGTATCGTCACAGATGAATACAGTGACTTTTTAAATAAATTGTATACGTCACTTTTCTTTGCTACAGATCCCATGAGCTGTCGACATGGCGGTCCACATTCCGGGACTCATTGCAATCGTCGTCTTCTACCTTCTGATTCTGGGGGTGGGCTTATGGGCAGCCCGGAAGACCGGACTTAAGAAGGGTCAGTCTAGCACTGAAGAGGTCATGCTGGCAGGGAGGGACATCGGGATGTTTGTGGGATGCTTTACCCTCACAGGTAAGATGCACCTTGTGGACGATATACACCCAGTGTGTTTCATTGTGAGCGAAAGCTCGTTCAAAACTATCACGGATCCCTTTCATTTCACTCACAAAGTCAGCACTGGAGCATAAACAGTATATAATGTATGCTCGTATAATTACGCTTAGGAACATCGACAAAGCAATTAATCAAAAGTAGAACAATATATTCTTAGTGATTTAACAGAGAATTGCACAGTACGTTCCGGACGAACGAGGCTGTAGATTAGGTTTCACGTTGGCCTACAAACCTAGGGGTCCAGACATGAATCAAGTATCCTTGCAGGAAATACAAGTATATAAAAAATGTTTATATTGTGTCGTGTAGTGCACTGCAAGATGTAATCAGTACGTTTACAATAAATGCTTTATGTTTATTTCATTATGCGTGCAATACCTCGGAACGCACCACAAGTATTTACCATGCTTTCATGTTTCCTTTGTCGGCATAGGTACTACAGATATGTACCCAAGGTACGTTTCTGTATACAGAAATGTACCCGAAACAAAGTCAAAATACGAAAACGTACCTGGTACCCAAAACGGGGAACGAGTCCCTATACCTCAACCCAAAATCGAAATCGTATGTAGTTGTTCCCGTTCAAATGATCGCGAGTGATACTGTGCATCGCGAAATATTCGTTACTGTACACGCTCGTTTCTTGTATAACGCAGTCAAATGCATCTTATACAGATCTATGACAGTTCCGATCAAGAAAACGGAACAATGCAGAATGGACTCGTCCTAGGGTACGTTTCTGCATTCTGATTTTGGCAGCCTGGGGTACAATCTGTAGTACCCGTGCCGACGACGACCCCTTCAGGATAAATTTATTGCTATGTAATGACATCGTAATCGAGACACCACAGCTAAGTGCCAAGGCCAATGTAGACGTATGTTCTCTTGGATAGTCCACTTTATAAAGCTGATAACCCCAGCTTTTTGCCCAGATTAGTCTTACTCAGAAAGGCTGTTTGAAACTCTCCAGATTAAACTGATTTTAAAGCCTAGACCTACAAAACTACTTTAACTATAGTTATGGTTTGTGCATGTTGTGTTTCTTGTGCTTGTGGTGCTTGTTGTCCTTGAGGCGCTGGTTGTGTGTCTGGTGGTTCATTTGGTGCTTGTTGTCCTTGAGGCGCTGGTTGTGTGTCTGGTGGTTCATTTGGTGCTTGTTGTCCCTGCTGTGCTTCGAGTGCTTGTAGTGCTTGTTGTACCTGCGGTGTTTCGTGTGCTCGTGGTGCTTGTTGCCATTGAGGCGCTGGTTGTGTGTGTGGTGGTTCTTGTGTTGCTTGTCCCTGCGGTGTTTCGTGTGCTTGTGGTGCTTGTTGTACCTGCGGTGTTTCGAGTGCTTGTGGTGCTTGTTGCACCTGCGGGGTTTCGTGTGCTTGTGGTGCTTGTTATACCTGCGGGGTTTCGAGTGCTTCTGGTGCTTGTTGTACCTGCGAGGTTTTCGTGTGCTTGTGCTGCTTGTTGTCATTGATGCGCTGGTTGTGTATGTTGTGATTCTTGTGTTGCTGGTCCCTGCGGTGTTTCGTGTGCTTGTGGTGCTTGTTGTACCTGCGGTGCTTCGTGTGCTTGTGGTGCTTGTTGTCCCTGCTGGATTTCGTATGTATGTGGTGCTTGTTGTCCCTGCTGTGCTTCGAGTGCTTGTGGTGCTTGTGTTGTTGTACCTGCTTGGGTTTCGTGTTTCGTGTGCATGTGGTGCTTGTTGTACCAGCAGTGCTTCTTGTGTGTGGTGGTTGTTCTGCTTTCTATGTCTGTGGTGCTTTTTGCGTCTGTGGTGATTTTTGTGTCTGTGGTGATTCTTGTGGTGCTTGTTGCACCTGCGGTACTTCGTGTGCTTGTGGGGCTTGTTGTGTCTGTGGTGCTTTTGTGTGCATGTGGTGGTTCTTTTGGTGCTTGTGTGTACCTGTTTGTGGTGCTTCTTTTGCTTGTGCTTCTTGTGCTGTGTTGTGTGTCTTTGTGGTGCTTTTGTGCTTGGTGCTTGTGTTGTGTCTTGTATTTGTTGTTGCGGTGCTTCTTGTGCTTGTGGTGCTTGTGTCTTTGGGGCTTTTGTGCTTATGCTGGTTGTGTCTATTTATTTTTGTTTTGGTTGCGAGGTTATGTTTTCAGCTTGTGGTGCTTGTAGTGTTTGTGGTGTTTCTTGTGCTTGTAACATGTCTGTGTTGTGAAGGGTGTGTATAGTGTATGTGATGTTAACGGTGGCTGGTGTATCTATCATGCTTCTGTGTACATTTGTGAGTGTGTGCGCGTATGTGTATGTGTGTTTGTGACTTTGTAGAACATCTTATATGTATGTACGCACAATTGCAGCCAGTGTCCATTAGATACTTGACACAAGATAAAACGAAGCCACTAATGGACATGGCAGTTGTTACAAGATACTTAATAGAAGATAATATGTTTATGCAAAAACATTATGTTTGTGTTGTTTGTCTATCGATATCTTTATTTCCGGTACTGAAAGGCCACAGGCCTGTAGTACAATACATTTACAAAACAATATTTACACGCACATGTAATATACATAAAGAAGAGACAATAATCAACTGTAAGTTACATTGTTTTCTGAGATATATTCTGTTCTAAACAACATGTCATTGTAAGTAAACATGGACAAGTTTTGGATTATTGTATGGTTTTTGTTATTTAACAATGCTGAGAATTTGGATAGAGGTTTGGATGGACAAAATAATATTTCTTAATATACAACTTTCTCAGGGAATTATACGCAGGGCAAATTAAAAGTAAATGATATTCATCTTCTATTTGGTTAAGATCACATAGTTTGCAAGTTCTGTTTTCTTTTTTGACATTTAAAAATCTTCCACCTTCGATAAATAAATCATGTGAAGAACATCTCAATCTGCTTAACGCTATCCTATACCTTTTTACGTTTAGACATGAAAGATAAATTTCGGCGTCAAAGGTACATTTAAACATCATACTGGAGAGGGATATCTTTCCAAACCATTCTTGCAAATAGATATCTTTTAATCTTCTTGTTAGGTTTTCTGTGTCTAACAATACATCCCACTCCAGCTACCTGGGTCGGAGGAGGATTCATCAACGGTTCCTCGGAGATCGTCGTGCTGAGCGGCCTCGTGTGGTGCCAGGCTCCAGTGGGGTATGGACTCTCCCTCGTATTTGGTGAGTCTGGTCACACGTCTACACCTACAACAAAATAAACGTCGTTACCAAGGCACTCCTAAAGAAATGAAATATATCATATACTCGCGGAGATCCGGGTTAGAATAGCTTTTCAGCTGGAGGCGAATAATTGGATCGAGCGGTCAGGTTTGCTGCCTTGGTTGACACATGTCATCGTATCCCATTTGCGTAGATCGATGATCATGATGTTGATCACTGGATTGTCTGATCACGACACAATTACTTACAGACCGCCGACGTATAGGAATATTGCAGAGTGCGGCATTTAACAACAACAACAACAAAACAAAATGGAATTTTATGAGTGCTTAATTCAACTACATAACGACTTTTATATAACGTTTTAGTTTAATTATTCTCGGCATGATCCTCTATTGGTCAGCACCATACCAATAGTCATGGCTTTCATCAAAGTGGAAAATGTCTACCATCTTTATCACAGTGCTCCCACATAAATATGTCCAGGGACGTTTCACGCAACACATTTATTTGTTTATATGACAGGAGGGATTTTCTTTGCCGACAAAATGAGACGAAGCAAGTACAACACCATGCTGGATCCATTCAACCGGAAGTACGGTGACTTGATGGGGGCGCTGTTGTATATACCCGCCATGTTGGGAGAGATGTTTTGGTCAGCGGCCATATTGTCTGCCTTAGGTTCGTAGCTTGATGTACATCAGTATTGATCTGCTGCAAACTAATAATGATAACATTTTCTCACCAAACAAATTCCAAACTGGTTCTAGTCTTTGCTTCTATTTTTGGGTATCTGTACTTCATACCACTTTCGCTACTACATCCCGCCTGGCTTGCGTTATATTTACACTGCGTTGTCTTCAGAGGTTAATGTCATTTCCAACCCATTGATGGACTGAAGAACTTTATGCATTTTTCTGGCAGTTGAACATGATGAATCCTCACACATTTTCACACTTGTTCCACACAACGCCCTCATCCATACTGTAACATAAGACATTGATGGTGATGTGCGACATCCGATATTGGTATGCTCACCAATCTGATAATCCTGGGACTATAATGTCAGTCATATCTTTATCAAAATACCATTTCATACCATCTCATACAATATGAATACGCTATGCTATTTGGCCGAGTGGGTTAATGCCACTTTCTTCACGACATCCCGTGTTTAAACTTGCGCAATGTTTACTCATTAACTTCAGAGTTGTTGGACTGATAAAAGTACTCAGTCTAGAATCTGTACTTTCCTCAGAAAGTGTAGTCCCAAATAAAACTTATGTCATCTTATACATGTCTTTTCTTTACTAAATTACCTTTAGTGTTTGGAAGCGAAAGAAACCATCTCAATTTGCATGCAATTGAGACTGTTCCTGTTCCTTGAGATCCTTTATTGCGACCTTCACGTTTCAGGGGCAACACTTGCTGTTATTTTGGACATTAACACGACTCTCTCCATCCTCATCTCAGCAGCTATATCGCTGTTGTACACGTTGGTCGGGGGGTTGTATTCCGTGGCTTACACCGATGTGGTTCAGCTCATCTGCATTTTTATTGGTCTCGTAAGTAAAACCACTTCAAAGGACATTTATCTAAGAGGAGGAGGGTCGGTTAGATGTGGAGGCGGCATTAAAATATGACACAGCAGAAGATGGCAGAGGGCATCGAAATCTGTCACAAGATTAGAAGTTATAAACTTGAACATTATTTTAGGACTACTGATAATTTTGAATATGATTATTTGTAGGGTGAGCGGAAAATGTTAAATGAGGGTGTCAGCAGAATACGATTTTCTGATTATTGTTACGATTGACTAGCTTGGAATACTAAAATAATAACAAGACTTACCTTAAACATCAGGTATTTCAAGTATGACATCATGTTATAAAGAGAATATCACCCTAGTCTGGTTCCATACCGTAAATAGTATAAATTAAGGGAACAAATATGCATTTTGCTCATCAGTTAAAATACATGTAATTGATTCACCCTATAACGTCTCTATATACAATGTCTGCATGAAACAGACGTCTGTTTTCTGCTTCAGTGGGTCAGTGTGCCCTTTGCAATGATGAACTCAGCTTCAAAGTCGATCATCGTCGACTCATCGTCGGCTCCATTGTCGTCGACGTGGTTAGGAGAGGTAGCGACCACCGATATAGGGATCTACATGGACACCTTCTTACTGCTCATTTTCGGGGGTATTCCTTGGCAGGTAGGAACGACGATGACCGAAATGACGCATCTGTTTTTATTTAAGGTTGTTGCTGTTATTTTTGTTTTTGATCTTATTTTTGATTTGTTTTGTTTTGCTTTTATGTTGTTGGGGTTTTTTTTGTTTCGGGGATATTTTTGTTTGTTTTTTATTTGGTTGGTTTTTTTTTTTTTGGTTTGTTGTTGTTTTTGTTTTTGTTTTTGTTTTTTTTGGGGGGGCTTGCTTGTTTTTTGTGTCTGTTTTTTATGGTTTTTTGGGGGTGGTGGTTTGGTTTTGTGTTTGTTGTAGTTGCTTTGTGTTCTTTTTGTATTTTGTTTTGTTTGGCTTTTTTTTATGGTTTTTTGTTTGATTTAATTTTTGGGTGGGAGTGTGGGATGGGGAGTTGGTGTCATTTAACCCATGTTAAAGCAGGGTTAGCGTTTATCAACCTATCGTTAGAGACTAATACATAATATGTCAGATTAAGATCGTTGGTTTGATTTGTTACGTATCATTGTACACTGACGTCATCGAACTTTGCTCAGAGATATGTCTCGTCCATACTAGGCCTTAGGTAGCCTAGTGATCAGTCTCCCTCTTTGATCTTGCTGGCAGATAACTCAGGTCCGTAGTCGATTATATAAACAATATGATATAAATAAAATCAAGGAACAGAAATCTCTCAGTTGGTAAGCTTACTTTCCTTTTTCGTTTGTGGAAGCATAAACAAACAAATAGCATGGTTAGCTAATCAGATGCCATGGAATCACTTACAAGATATTTATTGAGGTTTGATATTTGTTATATTAGGTATATTTCCAACGTGTGCTGTCAGCTAGATCAGTGAATATCGCTCGTACCTTGTCCTTTGCGGGCGGGTTTGGATGCATGTTTATGGCTATACCGGCAGTGTTGATAGGAGCCATAGCATCGAACACAGGTAAGTGTACGAGCAATAAAGTAATTACATGTATGGTCATTTAAAGTATTCTCAAACTATTTTCAAAAGAAATCATCCCGTTATTTCAAAATGTCATCGCCTGAGAATGATCAGGTTCGAATGTTTTCCGAATGAAATTCCACTGGCTTTGAAAGACACATTACTGATGAAAATTATTATGAATGGATCTCTGATGTGATGACACCAGGTGTTTGCGAAAAACGTGAAACATTTCCATCATTACCTGTAGCATCCGCCACTTTCAGCTTTTCATTTTATCTTTGTTTCCAATAGAAATATTTCATTTAGTTTAGTTTCGGTCAGAAAGATTTACCCACATCGAGAAGAATCACAAGAATAGCAGGTTGAAACACACCAAAACTCTTGGGGCGAAAGAACGCCTAAACTCCATATTCTACTAAATAGTATTCTCGTCTGATCGATAGTAACTGTTTATAATGTTACATTTTGACCGTGAAATTAATATAATAAACTTAGAATTTTTCTCTTAATTTCAGATTGGAATCAAACTGCTTATGACAAGCAAATAAATGGTTCCATTCCGACGGATGAATTGGGGCTAACTCTACCCTTAGTGCTTCGCTATCTCACCCCTGACGCTGTTACGTTTATTGGCCTGGGCGCTGTCTCCGCCGCCGTCATGTCCTCCACCGACTCCTCCCTACTCTCCTCCAGTTCCATGTTCGCAAGGAACGTCTTCGGCGTTGTCTACACTCGATGCACCAAGAAGAAGGTACCGTTATATAGCAAAATGTTTAGCCTGTGCCCATACACTAGGTTTAGCTTTTCCATAAAATATTGATCCGTTATATATTATTATAGTGAGTTCCCATAGCACTGATTTAGGGTCAATTTTATCACACGAGAAATTTAGATATCATTTACTGCCATCAAATTGGGTTATGATCGTCTCATTATTTGTAAAAGATTTATTGTGGTTTATTGATATATTTATAGATATGTTACATTTGTGACATTCAAATTTCCTTTTCTACAAAAGAACTATTAATTCATTCATAAAATTTGGATGCTTAATGTATATTCGAATAGTTTCGTGTGTTTTGTTATGTATTAGTGTTTCAAGCAATTGTTTACCTTGTTTTATTTTTCATATGATACGCATTCTTTTAATTATCATAAACGTTTATTCAATGCATGAAACAGCTTCATGGGTTTCAAACTATCATTTACATGACGTCATTATCTTTTTTATTTTTCAGTTTTCCGATCGTATGACAATCTGGGTTATGCGATTTACGCAGCTGGTCATCGCAGGCTGTGCGTGTGCCATGGCGATAACAGTGAAATCGATTTACTATCTCTTCTACCTGTGTTCAGACCTCGTGTTCGTCATCCTCTTTCCTCAACTGGCATGCGCCGTGTACCTTCACGATACCAATTCATATGGGTCCCTTCTTGGGTTCATAATCGGTCTGATCTTCCGATTGTTGGGCGGAGAACCGGGCCTCGGTTTGCCCCCGTCGATTCACTACCCATGGTATGACAAGGATGCTGGTCAACGCTTCCCCTTCAGATCTTTGACCATGATCATAACTCTCGTAACGGTAATACTAGGTTCCTACCTTTTCCACGTACTTTTCAAGAGTGGTTGTCTACCGATTGAATTCGACATCTTTAACAGTTTCACCGACAAGCCAAGGACGGTTCTGACTTCAACCACAGCGCCGATCGAGGTAGCGAAACTGCCATCAGACGTTCCCTCTTCGTACCAACCGTACGTCCCCGATGACCTTCATGAACGAAAGGTCAATTTGAGTAAGAGGGGGCACGACAATCCAGTGTTTCGACAGGAGCCGTACCAGACAGACACGCTGGGCAGTAACGGGACAGTAGACGCTGAGAAACCCCTGAAGACTGTGACCAGGTTATAGACAACAACGACGTTGTTCAGTAAACTATGTTATTACGAACACACGTATAATGGACCGACGGATGTATGCCTGATCACTGCTACTTGATGTATATTTTAGTTGAAATCCATATTATGGACAATGCTTATACCACACTAGAATTTGTGGTCCCTTTGAATTCGTTTTTGTACGTTTATGAGTTAACAGTATGTTTCTTGAGGTTATGCATGTAATCAGTCATCCCGTTTGTAATTGTTCAAATTAACCTTACGTAAAACAATTGGACGAAGGGTAGTCACGTCTGTCGTATGTATTTGTTCAATGTTTCTTTGTACTCGGTTAATGATGCTATGAACATTAATCGGACATAACTGCTAAGAGAGTCAGCCAGAAAAGTTCATCTGCGTTGTGATTCTGCAGTGCATTTGACAAAAGCCGTCAACAGGAAATCCCGAACGATCTGTCCTGAGTGAATAAATATTAAAACTCCCCAGCCATGGACAGATAATCCGTGATTCCGAGTTGGAAGTATTTTATTATATATTGCCCACAGATTCTTTCCATAAATATAGCTCTGGTCTCAAGACATCAACTCAGTCAATATATTACTGTAAAGACTTCTTCTTTATCTTCAATTATTTGAAACCGTAGACTAAATGACGTCACGGAAACTCCATAGTATTGAACAACTGGACATCATTCCGATGCCTGAAATCAAATACACATCGTCAGTGCAAAAGATTACCCAGTCTTGATTATCCTGAGAAACAAATCCCGTTTGGTTTATAGGGAAAGTTAGCTGTGAAAGTTACATGAATGAATTACTGAAAATCAATGATGACACCAGGCTAGATTACTAACAATAGGGTTCAAGATATACCCACCTTAGCTGTGGGTAATAAACTGCCTGGACATCGACGGTCGATGGTAATGATAAACAAGAAATAATGTGGATGTATTTGATACTAGGCTTATCATCGCTGTGTGTTGGAATTCAGTGTGTCGAGGACTGTTTTCATTCTAATATAGTTTTGATAATGTTTCTGATTTTGGATCAGATAGAATGTTCAACTGTATTCTTTGTTTTAGCAGTAACTATAATCTGACACACCGTATGGGCAGTCTCCAGACGTCTTACATCAATGATTTGCAGAAATTGTATATATTAGACAGATTATATCAGCATGTATCACCTAGAATGTATTACCTGGAAGGCAACATTAAACAATCAGTGCGTTACACACCCTGCGATACTAATACATATGTTTTTGTACGCTAACCCATGTCCTATTTCATATCTTTTGCTTTATAATGAGAAGATTTCACTGCACTAAGAAATACATTATTCAGCAATAACGAAATAAAAAAAATGGATTGCAATACTTTACACCAGCGTATACCCGGAACAGTTGTCATCTCATTGTCCTTCTCTTTAAAAATACATTGAGATGCTGAGAGTTAAGACGACAAAAATACAAATTTCCAACAAATTTAGGTTTCGTATGTGATTTAAATAAACGACTTCATTTTTAAAAAAGCACCAAGCTTTCCATCCGGGACACTCGACAATCGATAATATTTTGACGCTGTAGTCTTTATGCTCAAAATATTGATGCAAATCCATAGGCCACATTTGGGTCTCCTTTGTAGATTTTGAAGAAGGCTTTCAAGAACATGCTGTCTAGCTAATACATGGCTGACTTGCTGTATAACATAATGTCCTTAAATGTATGCAGTTGGATGTTAAGGTTTATGTAAAACTTTGGTCGAACCAAGTTTTCCTACAAGCACTGCGATATATACGTCCTCATTACTGACGCTCCTGTTTCATATCAATATGCATTCTATTACCGATTATCATGGTGCTTACATGAATGCTTGCAAAGTGGAAATCATTTTTATCCATGATGTGTTCAATAATAGGATCCTGTGTCCAAGATGTCGTAGAACGGCTGGAGAGCTTAGTTGTTGAAACTTGTCCCCGCAGTGATATTGCTGGAATTTTGCAAAAGGCGGCATTAAAACTCGCTGACTTACATAGATTGTCTTTTACATGGAAACCTTGTGCCTCGTGCTATGAATAAATATTTTTTCGAGCTTGTTGGTGGCGTTTATTTTTTCGTTATGCAATCTTGGTTTGATTTATATTAATGGATTGCTGATATATTTCCCTATATCTGATATGGGTCTATTGTGTATCTTTAACTGGGACGTAGGTTTCCTTCATTTGACTCTCTCACCACCAGCTGACATATTGCTCGTTGTAAAATCATATATAAGAGGAATGAGAAACACACTCTCAGTCTTTTGTACAGACGGTTTGCGGAGTTGTAACATCTTAGACTACTCGACATAAATATAGAAGCTTGTTTCCAAACACCACATATAGTCTAGTGGAACTCGTAATTTAATATTCAGATTTCGTCTGCATATATAAGAAAAAAGTACTCATTATTTTATACAATGCACAAACCGCTCGATTTCCCTTGACCACATTTCTTTATCGTTATTATTCTAAGTCCTTTGAAGTTCAGTCAAATGAGCACTGCACTTTTCTGAAGCGATTGTGATGAAGAAGCTATCATGCTGTTTATTGTTTTCTAAAGGGGTTTTATACTTAGTTCACATTGTGTATCAAAGCTCGTCAAGCAGGATCTATAGAATATTTTTACATACATGACATTAAAACGGGGTTATCGTTTCAAATACACAAATACATAAATGAATCTGTCAGATAGGGACGTAGTTATCCTATTTGTTACCAGCGATTACTTTCAATGACATTTTAACAAAGGTATCCGTATCCTGATAGTGAGTTTGAAGTGTGTATGAATACAAAGAACGCAATGTGCATGCAAAGAGAAGGTCGAGCTCTTCCTGCAAGCCCCCAATAACATCTCCAGAAACTATACATAGTGTCCGTTTACTTATTGTGGAAATCAAACCTATTGACAAGCTATTTTCACAACGGAGGTTCATTATGTGTTTGGTACATTTACTAGTCTTGCTTTGCCAGGCTAGTTCTGTTGGACTAGTCAGGCTTTGATCATGGTGCTTTTATGAATAATTGCAAAATAGAAATCATTTTTATCCATGATGTGTTCACCGTGGCCAGGTTTTACCTATCCTTGATATTGTAGCGCGGTTAGAGAGCTAGTGTTTAAAGGTTTCTTCACAGTGATATTGCTGGAATTATTACTGATGGAGTGTAGTGAATTGTACTGATGGAGCCGTTTACAACAGTCATAACAAGTACTCAACAGACATGTTTGGATAACGAACAAATTAAAAACTACATTATCGTAGATATGGATCATTATGTAACACCATATGTCAAAACGGGGACGTTTGACAAACGTGTATCCATATAGAAGTGAGATTTACAGTTCATTATATTTGGTCAGCTCATATATGCAGCTTAATTGGTCATCTTAACAAAGGACCATATCAGTTGACATTACAACACCAGCTACACCGGAAGTTACCTTTTAGCTCACAAGGAAGTGTAAACGCATATATATTTTCAAAGTAACATCCTGCACAGTTACATCTTCTCACATCTGCTGTTTAAATAGACAGCGCAGTAGCTTAGTGTTCGTCTCCATTGTTTTTTTTTATGTTATCGTGCCTGTTTTTCTCCCAAAGGAACGTTACCTTTCAATATTGATATCTGTTAATGTGTTGTGATGTGCTGCTAGTATGAGTCGTACAGAGCATTTGAGATGAACACTACATGAAGCGACAACAAAATCCCCTACATTAACCCATGAACGAAGAGTGTTCTCCCAGCTTGTATTCTAGAAGCACTCGTAAAATTCCGCCTCGCCATTGAACGTTTAAGTGAAGCACATATGTCGGGTTTTTTATTACTATATAATGGGCGTATAAAAGTACTGTTACGAAGACCTACTATACGTGCTCCAGGAAAATGAACGCATACCCTTTGATGGAGTACTTTTAAGTTCAGTGTCATTTGGTACTCAGTCTGTTGTCGAAGCGGAAGCGCCATAAAATAATACTTCTACTTCTTCATGTTGATTCATATACTACCCATCAAAAGTGTAGACTCACCAGCGTAAATCTAGCCACTTACTTCAGTCAACTGTTCTAAACTTGATTTTGCAAAATATTCCGTACTGTTTAAAGATACTCTTTACACATGAACTGGTGCATTGTAAAACAAATTCGTAACGTTGAAAAGATTATTATTATGAAGTTAATAAATGATGAAACTCCGTGAGAATTGGCGAATTCTTAACAAAACTTTACACCAAAACGTAGCTCTTCACATGCACGATATTTGCACATGTTTTTCTTGCAATGTGATGCATGATCCTCGTGCAATTCATCTGCATAAGGTTTGCAGTTGGTTCCCCCAAGTTAGTGGAGAAATTCATCTTCGATGTAACCATATATATATACATACCATATAGTAAGTGCTTGAAGTGAGTCTAAACTTTTGATGGGTAGTATATATACATGTATGATGTCATTCAAACCAAACATAATGGATAAGAATCGTGCATATTATGGACGACAGTTCGTGATATCCGACCTAATTACATTTAAATCTGATAATGTTACACTACACCAACCTGATCTACACAGCTGTAAAATGCCTACCCGTAAGAAGGTGGTTGTATGTCACGTTTTGGCTACTCAACACCTACTAAACGCCAGCTGTGATACGCCAGCTGTAAAAATGCATACCTGTACGGAGTTTACTGTGTGTTATGTTCAAGATAATCAATACCTACCCGATCTGTGAAGCTGTGAAAATGCATACTTATAAGGAGTGTACTGTGTGTTATGTTCAGGGTAATCAATACCTACCTGATCTGTCCGTCTGCGGAAATGTATACGTGTAGGGTGTTGACTGTGTGTTATGCTCAGTGTACCTGATCTGTCCAGCTGGAAAAATGCATACCTGTATGGAGTTAACGCTGTTATGTTAAGGGTAATCAGTACCTACCTGATCTGTCCAGCTGTCAAAATGCATACCTGTAAGGAGTTTACTGTGTGTTATGTTTAGGGTAATCAATACCTACCTGATATGTCCAGCTGTGAAAATGTATACCTGTAAGGAGTTCGCTGAGTGTTATGTTTAGGATAATCAACACCTACCTAATTTGTCCAGCTGTAAAATGCATACCTGTAAGGAGTTTACTGTGTGTTATGCTCAGGGTAATCAACACCTACCTGATTTGTCCAGCTTTAAAATGCATACCTGTAAGGAGTTTACTGTGTGTTATGTTAAGGGTAATCAATACCTACCTGATATGTCCAGCTGTCAAAATGTATACCTGTAAGGAGTTCACTGTGTGTTATGTTTAGGATAATCAACACCTACCTAATTTGTCCAGCTGTAAAATGCATACCTGTACCTAGGAGTTTACTGTGTGTTATGTTATGTTTAGGGTAATCAATACCTACCTGATATGTCCAGCTGTCAAAATGTATACCTGTAAGGAGTTTACTGAGTGTTATGTTTAGGATAATCAACACCTACCTAATTTGTCCAGCTGTAAAATGCATACCTGTAAGGAGTTTACTGTGTGTGTGTTATGCAGGGTAATATGTTTAGGGTAATCAACACCTACCTGATTTGTCCAGCTGTAAAATGCATACCTGTAAGGAGTTTACTGTGTGTTATGTTTAGGGTAATCAATACCTACCTGATATGTCCAGCTGTCAAAATGCATACCTGTAAGGAGTTCACTGTGTGTTATGTTTAGGATAATCAACACCTACCTAATTTGTCCAGCTGTAAAATGCATACCTGTAAGGAGTTTACTGTGTGTTATGCTCAGGGTAATCAACACCTACCTGATTTGTCCAGCTGTAAAATGCATACCTGTAAGGAGTTTACTGTGTGTTATGTTTAGGGTAATCAATACCTACCTGATCTGTCCAGCTGTGAAAATGCATACCTGTAAGGAGTTTACTGTGTGTTATGTTTAGGGTAATCAATACCTACCTGATCTGTCCAGCTGTAAAATGCATACCTGTAAGGAGTTTACTGTGTGTTATGTTTAGGGTAATCAATACCTACCTGATCTGTCCAGCTGTAAAATGCATACCTGTAAGGAGTTTACTGTGTGTTATGTTTAGGATAATCAATACCTACCTGATCTGTCCAGCTGTCAAAATGCATACCTGTAAGGAGTTTACTGTGTGTTATGTTTAGGGTAATCAATACCTACCTGATCTGTCCAGCTGTCAAAATGCATACCTGTAAGGAGTTTACTGTGTGTTATGTTTAGGGTAATCAATACCTACCTGATCTGTCCAGCTGTAAAATGCATACCTGTAAGGAGTTTACTGTGTGGTATGTTTAGGGTAATCAATACCTACCTGATCTGTCCAGCTGTAAAATGCATACCTGTAAGGAGTTTACTGTGTGGTATGTTAAGGGTAATCAATACCTACCTGATCAGTCTAGCTGTAAAATGTGTTTTTATATTGAACCACCAGGAAACTTGTTGATGCTATGTTTAAGGCACTCAATACCTATCTGATCTTTCTAGCTGTACAAATATTTTCACAATGCGAAGATATGAACATCTGAAACCTCAAGTTAACGTCTTTGGCTCCATATGGGATTTTCAGGCATGAAACTCGGACAGCTTTTCAAAGTTTGAAAATAGTCTGTTTGATAGTCTCAAGACTGTAATGGCGACTGTACTGTTCCATGCTGGAAATCCTCAGCGTTCAGAGACAAATAATTTACCCCATAAAATACACCCTCTAATCTGTCAACATCGAGAAGTATATGGGTTTTTTTATTTGCAACAAAAGATGCTGTCACCGTAAGAAGGATATCTCAAAGCATCTTCTTTACATCCGTCACAGTTATACCTTCAAGGGTCATGATGAACACGTCCTATTGTCTTCGTGGCGTGTGATTTGGGGTTGGCTGTACACATCAAGGATGTGGATGGTGGACCTTTGTTGGCGATAAGTAGCCATGGCATATGGTTACACCATCACAATGATAAACATTTGTGTTTCTCTTCTTTCTTCATTTTGCCTTCGGGTTTAGCTTGTAATGGAATCAGTCATGCGGTTTTTACATAACTCAAAGACTGACGCGTGTTATTG